CTATACTATAAAAAAATAAAATAAAATAAAAAATTGCCCCTTTTAGACTTGCACTCTATTTATTTACTAACTGCTTGTTTTCTTTAAAAAAAAATAATAAATAACACTTGCTTCTCTATTCTTTTTGCATTCTATCTATTTGTTTTATTTTTATTTATTATACAATTATAATTCGGACTTTCTAACTTCTGATTAACAAAAGCAAAAAAGGCCTCTAACACTAGCTTGCTCTATTCTTTTTCTATACTATCTGTTTTCTTTTTATTTATTATATGATTTTTAAAAAGCCCTTGCTACGTGTACTGCGCTAAGCTAACTGAGACTTGTAATAGTACTTGTATATCATTGCTCTCTTGTGTTTATTTTGATTGCTTCCATTGTCCTCATTTGTAAGTCGCTTTGGATGAAAGCATCTGCTAAATGTCTAAATGTAAATGTAATTTAAATGTCTTCGATTGCATTTATTATTTGTACTGTGCCAGCCCCCCAATAATAGCAATAAGCTTTGTGCCTTTGGTACTTTTAATATAAAACAAAGCCTCAGCTTTCAAATTCTGTCAGTTTTATAACGAAATACAAACAATATGCCTTACAATAAAGTTTTTCACATCATGTTTTCACGTCATTGATCATGTCTGTCCTGTGTTAGAGCCACAGCATGGTCACTCGTGATCTATTCCCTCTGAATGTGCATTCTCAATGGCCACATCTGCATACTGAAATGTGCTTGTGCAAAAAATATAATTTATTATTATTATTATTTTGTGTGTGGCTCAGGGAGAGCAGAGCTCTATCGCCCTCTATTGGCCAGACACCACTGATAATGAATTGTAGTTTTTGACTCACCAGTGATTTCGAGATCTACTACTTTGCTGCCATATTCTCTGTCTCCACTCACATAACAGTGAAATTAATCTTCATCCTGAAATGTGAGTTTCTCTAGTCGTAGAGAGACGTCTCCATCCTTCAGTCCACCAGACTGATCTGACCGCAGAGCCAAAGAGCTTCGGTTCCTGAAACATTCCTGGATGTCCTGGATCTTCCCATGATTATAGAGCAGAACAGGGTTGTTGAACTGATCGTGACGGTACCAGCGGATCTCCAGAGCTTCAGCGTTCTCAGGAGGAGAGGTCCAGCAGGGAACAATCACTGTGGATCCCACATGAGCCACTATAGGCTCACCAGGAACCACTACAATAAACGACACTGACAGACAAAGACACACTCAGTGAAATATACAGTGTGTTAGTCTTCAATCTGTTTTTATTTAATATCAGTTTAATTTATCATATAAAATGAATATAACATGTAAATTTAAAATCATTGTTGTTCTGTGAATTTTCAGTCTTTTACTAGGAATCTATGCATTTGGGAATTTCACAGGGAATTTCCCGTTCAGATTGTGAATTCGCGAATTCTTCCACATTGATGAACAGAAAACCGATTGGTTTTAAAGTGAATCCTGTGCTTCATACATTGCTACACTATTGACTATAAAACCTACAACAGACGTTTTTGTTTGCGAAATATCTCGCTTTACCTAACAGTAGGGAGAGTGGGGGACGGTTGCAACGCTTCTGCATTTCCTTCAGTTTCTCAGAGACTGTTTGTATTGGAAAGCCAAAATTGAAATAAAATAAACCCACATCTGTCAGCTACTCACCTACACTGCTGTAACATGTGTACATATGATAATATACGTACAATTTATACTTGAATAGACAGAGTCAAATGTTGCAACTGACCCCGCAACAGGGGATGGTTGCAACATTAATTAAAATGGAATTAAAACCATTCTTAAATATAATTTTTAAATGTCTTTATTTTATTTGTGCACAGATAGGGTCTTCAAACTGGCTGTTATTAAGCCTCTCATCAAAAAACCACAACTTGACCCCAAAGAACTAGTTAATTACAGACCGATCTCGAATCTCCCTTTTCTGTCCAAGATACTAGAAAAGGTAGTATCCTCACAATTATATTCCTTCTTAGAGAAAAATGGTATCTGTGATTTAATCTAGATTAAAGACCCATCTCTTTAACCTGGCTTACACGTAACACACTAACACATTTCTAATATTCAAATCCGTTAAAGGATTTTTAGGCTGCATTAATTAGGACATCCGGAACCGGGAACACTTCCCATAACACCCGATGTACTTGCTACATCGCTAGAAGAATGGCATCTACGCTAATATTAGTCTGTTTCTTTCTTATATATGTTGTGGTAAGGGACAGCATGTTGGGACAACAACAACGTGTTGCAACTGTCCCTACACTACTGACAGCCGTGATAAAACTTTGTAAATTATCTTGACACAATATCTTTGACACATGCTAGCTATGCCTATTAGAAGCTCAGAAAACAGTGATTAAAATGATATGACTTTACAATGCTTCACACAAGCAGCTTAGGCAGTATGACAAAAAAATTCTGATCATAAAAAAAATACTGTTTTAAAATATGAATTTATCTCCTTAGGCCTGTATAGAATATTAAAGCCATAAAACTGACTGAAATCCAAGCGTGTTTGTGTTCTTACCAGACGTCTCTATGAGGAGATTCAGCAGTAAAGCAATAATAATCGACAACATGCCTGTGAAAATACAGATAGACTCCCATAAAACAAACTCTGAGGGAGATTCTTCCAGAATAAATGATATAAGAGACATAATCGATCAGACTGTTGTATTCAGTGAGTAAACAAACTCACCGGAGACAAAGATAAAGACAAAGTCTTTAAGGCATGATCTCTTTGTTTCATTCATTGGCGTATCGTTTCATTTATCCAAGGAAGCTGTATTTTTCTATCTGATTTCTTCCGACATTTAATACATTTATCTTCAATACGACTGATATTAATCATGAATTCATCACAACATTTATTTACTTGATTATGTTGTAATACTTCATTTCAACTTACTTGGGGGGGGGGTACAATACTACAATA